TGCACTCAGTGCTACTTACTTTTGCTGCTGCGGCTCGGTGGTACACTCAGTGCTATTTACATTTGCTGCTGCGGCTCGATGGTGCACCAAGTGCTACTTACATTGGTTGCTGCGGCTCGGTGGTACACTCAGTGCTATTTACATTTGCTGCTGCGGCTCGATGGTGCACCAAGTGCTACTTACATTGGTTGCTGCGGCTCGGTGGGTACACTCAGTGCTACTTACATTTGCTGCTGCGGCTCGGTGGTACACTCAGTGCTACTTACTTTTGCTGCTGCGGCTCGGTGGTACACCAGCTGCTACTTACATTTTAGGGCAGTATGTGCACAGGGATGCATGTCTAGCACACAAGCAGTCATTCAGGGCATTCATCAATGGGCACATACTGGCCTAAACATTAGTAGCTCTTGGTGCACTGTCCAGACACAGCAGCTGTAATGCCTAGTACACACGGTGAGAATATCGGACAAAAACAACATTTTCGGCGCACTCGTATGATGATCTGACCATTAGTACACAGCTTTTGAGAGCCGATTACGACAGTTTGTGTGAAATTATCCCAAGGGACAAGCACGAAAAATGTTCTCATAAGATAACAGAACGAACAAATTAATTTCTTTTAATCAGTACAGAATTCGTCTGTAAAAAATCAAGTGAACAAAACTGCGCATGCTCGAAAACAAAAGATTACATTACATAATTGCGGGAAGTTGTATTCTGTCTCAAGAGAATTTTTGTACCTCTAGTAACGTATTTGTTTTTGATATGAGACTAGCATGCAAAAACAAAAAAATGGAAGATTATTTGTCCGATACTCTCATTGTGGGTACCAGTCTTAAAGTGTTACTAAACCCACAACAGTAAAATCAGTCTGTAGATGCAGTAAATCATGCTTGATATACTCACTGTGGAACCTAAGGGGTTAATCCTCTGCATTGTGTAAAAAGGATGTTTGGTCCTGTGTTCTCTGCCCCTCCTCTTGTTCAAATGTCCACATATAAGACAGACTGAACCGGTAGTCACATGCTCAGTTTAGTGTGTATTACCAGAGAGGTTTTTTTTTTTTCTTGGGAAAGTGCATGTGATCAGCACATGACCAATCAGCACTGTCCGGTCAGAGGTTTTGCATCCTCCTAGAGCAGAAAGAAAACTCCTCCTACGAGCTTTAACCAGTGCTCAGCTGAAGTCACAAGACTGCTCTAACTGCTGATGAGAAAAGCTATTTAGCAGTTTATATTTACTAAAATTAATTGCATTTCCATGTTGTGTGTACTGTGGGAGATCAGATATAGTGAATGCAGGGTCCTGGGTTTAGTAACACTTTAAGTCTTTTATATACTTTTACTAACTGCCAGCCTCAGGGCTGGACAGTGTGTTTGTGCCTTCTACCCGCACCTAAATGTCAGAGTCTCATACACGTGTCTAAACACCCAGTGTGCATGAGGCCTTAAAAAAAAAAAAGCAGTTGAGGCACTGTAAAGGCCGTTTCACACGGGCGCCTTCTGTCTGATCAGCAGGGGATCTGAGAGCTGATAACCTGCCAATCAGAGCGGGGCGGATGACAGGTCCATGTGAACATGGACAGAGCTGGCTTTGGTCTATGGGCTACTGGGAGTAAATGGACTTTGCTGTCCCTTTTACAACCAGCTGCCTTGGATCCGGTCAGCCCAAATGGAAGAGGACGCAGTCCTCCCTTCTTCTTCTTCTCCTCCTTCTTCTCCTCTTCTCCTCCTCCCTCCTCCTCCCCTCCCCCCCCCCCTCCTCCCTCCTCCCCCCCCCCCCTCCTCCCCCTCCCCCTCCTCCCTCCTCCCCCCTCCTCTCCTCCTCCTCCCTCCTCCTCCTCCTAAAAACATCTGTTTACCCGCATTTGCATACCACTTTATGCGTGTTTGAGCGTTTTTTTAAGATAACCTCAGGAGACCTTCCAGGATGCCCAGAATACACTGAAAAACAGTAAAAAAATTAACTATTTCAGACATTTTGAGAGAAATAGAGAGCAGAAGCAGAGAGAGCAGTATTTGTTGAGATTAGCTGTTTTTTTTTTGTGGTGTTTGGATGTGTTCCAGCTCATTTCTGTGCAGAAATTATTGCAGCAGTGTCTAACATATTTTTTTCATGCAAAACCTCAAAGTATGATGTACCAGGTCTATTTGAGTACCAGTAAAATGCTTTGCATGCATTTTTCATGATGAAAAAAGGTTCTGGACAGCATCTGGAAATGGAAAAGTTAAAAAAAAAAATATCCAATGCAAACGCCTATAAATGCGTTTTCATACGTTTGCAAGCAGTTTGCGTTTGAAACGCTGATAAAATCTACTGCTGAATGCATTTTTTCTGCATTAAAAAAAAACGACTGTAAACTCAACTGCCTGTAAACGACTGTAAATGATGATGTGTACATAGATACATAGGAAAACATTAGGCAGAGTTCAGGGGCTGCTGAAAAAACACTGAACCTCTCCTAAACGTGAGTTTATCAGCTGCAGTGTACATAAACACTTAAAGTTCAGCTTTTAGCCAATCACCTATGAATCCTTGGTCACCATACAATCATCAGGTTTGCAACTACCTAAAAGGTAGTGTATAGTCTTTCACAATGTCTCTTTAGATAAACAGGTAAACGAGATCAGTTTGATGGAAAGAATCTCATCAAGATGTGTTGCTTTGTAGAGCTACACAGTGGTTGTGCTTTACTGCTCCTCCTCACAATGCATGCCTATAAATCACTAGACTCACTGAAAACAATAGCCTCCTTATCTGGCTAAAGCTGGCCATACATACGTTGAAATTTCTGAACTAACTGAATTTTACGGTATGGGCAGGAGGTTCTACTGATCGACTTCTATAGAACTGCCTGTTAGATTTTCCCCGCTCGATCAGCGAAGTAGGCTGATCAGTGTATTCTAGTAGCAGAGAAGACTCCCCACTGTCAGAATACAATAGCTCAGCAGGGAGGATTCCCCCATCCACACACTGGATGGGCTTGGTTTTTTTCCGTTCAGTTTACTGGTTGCACAAAAACTAGATCTTCTTATGGGCAGCCTAGGCTCCTAGCTAACCAGGCATTAAAAGAAAGACCGAGTAATTGTGTTGAGCCAAGTCTAGCGGATGCTCTATAGATTCCTATATTTTAGAAAAAAGGAAAAAATATAAAGTTGATATCTAGGATAATAACTAAAAATGAAATGTTTTCTTTTAACAGACCTTTTCTAACAATGATGTGGTTTTAACTTGATTTGAATACAGTTGATACATTTTGAACATATTCTCTCCTCTTCAGATGCACCAAATTGTAGAACACCCCCAGGCACTACAGAAGAACAAAGGACACAGCATGACCTTATGCCCTATATTGATGACTCCCCCAGTTCTTCCCCCCAGCTCAGTGCCAAGAGTCGTGGTAGCAGAGACACCCTCTCCTCTGCATCTCTGGAATCCAATAAATCAGTAAGTGGGCCATTATAAACCGAGGAAGAGGAAAGTGAGCCATGAAGGAATAGACCTGTTTAGCCTTGTTCAAACTCTGTTGCTTAGTACCTTCAGGTTAGGCTTTATGGTGTCTGTTCATTTCTGTATTATATAGGAAAAAGCAGAGATGTTATTTGACATACACTGAAAAGAAGATAAGACCGTCTTCTATTGGACAGGGAGCTGTACACTCGGGCCGAAAGTCATATGGTTTCTACTGTACAAGCTGATTTTGGCCGATATTTGGCCCATGTGTACCCAACATAAGATGAACATTTGGTAAAGCACTGCATAAATTGTCAGCTCTATATAAATAACTGTAATAAATAGTTAAAGCGGAGTTCCAGTAAAAATTAAAAAAAAAAAATAAAAAGCAGCTTCAAAAACTGTAGCTGCTGACTTTTTAAAAAAAACAGACACTTGCCTGTCCCTCAACCCTGCGATGTCCCCACCGCAGCCCATCTCACCGGCCGCCCTGTGTTCCTGGTGGAATCTTCAGTGTGGGCACCCGGCTGTGACAGCTTGTGGCTTCACAGCCGGGTGCCCACTGCGCATGTGGGAGTAGCGCTGCACTTTGTGAATGGCCCCGTAGTCTTCTGGGACCTGTCACGTGTCCCAGAAGACTACAAGGAGGGAGGGAGGACAACCTTTGCTTTCGATCGCCTAGGCAATCGCAGTGAAAGTTGGGAGCAGGTAGCGTTTAGTTTCGGGTACCCACTCACCAAAGGTTCCAATCCTTAACGGGGAGTGGGGGACCAGTCCTTAAAGCAGAACTTCCCCTTTTTGGGTGGAGTTCCGCTTTAAAATCTCACTGCTTTTGAATAATTCAGATTTAGTTTGAGCCTTCCAACATGTAGCAGTTTCAACATTGGTACAGTCCAGCTTTACATCCTCTGGTGTCACACCTGAGGAGCTCTGTTAGCAGTCAAACAACACCCTGAATGCAGGCACATTCACATCAGAATGAAGTGCAGGAAACCCACGTTCCATGCTGGTATCCCACGCCATATTCAAAATGTATTATGTGTATGATCTGCTGCTGGTGTCATTGTATTCCTGACAACACCCCAGACACAGATCGCAATCACAGTGCATTTGCCTGCATGTACGCCACAGTACTGTGCGATTTGGTGCAGTGTGTGTTTGAAAAGTCATGCTTGCACTACTTTTGGTGTGATCCAGTGTGATTTATAACCCATTCACATGAATTTACTAAAAATCGCACTGCAATGAGGTGCACAGGAATTTTACAGAAATGCAGACCACATTCCTGTGCGATTCAGGTGTAAACCGACCCTGAGTCTGTCAGCAAGGCTGATCAGTAAGGAGCCATAGCTTCATGTTACTCTACAAGAATTTGTAGGGACTTTTCAGATGCTACAATGATGACTATAATGTTTCATCAAAACATTCACTTTATTTAACCACGTCCCGCCCGCCATATGGTAATATGACGGGCGCAAGGTGGTTCTTTCGTTCTGGGAGGACGTCATATGACGTCCTCCCATTCTCACCGCGCATGCGCGGCTCAGGGAGCACGCAGCACGGTGATCGGCGGTGCGCTGTGTCCCTCGGACACAGCGGATCACCGGTCACGGTAAGAGCCGAAGATGTCGAATGGTCATGTGATCAGTTGTGTCCAATCACAGCTGATCACATGTAAACAGGGAAATGCTGTTTATCGGCATTTGTCTCCTCACGAGCTGTCACGCTGACAGCTCGAGAGGAGAGCCGGTAATTGGCTTTCCGTGGAGGGGACATGTACACTGATCATCAGGGCACTGATGATCAGTGTACTCTGATGATCATTGTAGCCCCAGCAGTGCCACCTGTCAGTGTCCATCAGTGCCTTGTGTCAGTGTTCATCAGTGCCAGTGCCCATCAGTGCCACATCAATGCCACATATCAGTGCATACCATTGCACATCAATGCCACATATCAGTGCCCATCTGAGCTGCCTTTCAGTGTCACCCACCAGTGCCACCTATCAGTGCCGCCTCTCAGTGCCAGTCAGTGCCACCTATCAGTGCCGCCTATCAGTGCCATGTATCAGTGCTGCCTTTCAGTGCCCATCAGTGATGCCTGTCAATGCCCATTAGTGCCACCTACCAGTGCCTCCTCATCAGTGCCCATTAGTGCCACCTATCAGTGTCCATCAGTGCAGCCTATCAGTGCCCATCACAGCAGCCTCATTAGCGCACATCAGTGAAGGAGAAAAATCACTTATTTACAAAATTTTATAACAAAAACTAAGAAAAAAAACGTTTTTTTTTTTTTTTTCAAAATTTTCAATGGTTTTTGGTTTGTTTAAGATAAAATAAAAAAACCCAGAGGATTATTCAATACCACCAAAATAAAGCTCTATCTGTCACAAAAAAAAAAAATTTCATATGGGTACAGTGTTGCATGACCGCGCAATTGTCATTCAAAGTGCAACAGCGCTAAAAGCTGGAAATTGGCCTGGGCAGGAAGGGGGTATAAGTGCCCTGTAGGCTAGTAGATAAACAACCTTTTTTAGAAAAAATAAAGAAATAAATGCTAAACATGGACTATAAGTCCTCATGCACACTGGACATTTTTACAGCTGCTGTTTTTGGCTTTTGATGGTTTTTCTACATCCAGTAAACCCCCAGCATGTTATCCTATGTGTCCATACACACATAGACTATAATCAACAATTTTTGTCTGGGGCGTTTTTTGACTGGAAAAAAACCCAGGAGTTCTTTAGCCGTAAAAACGCTCTATAACCTGGTAAAACGCAGTAAATCGCAGCACACCAGCGTTTTTTTTGGACGTTTTTTGGAGCAAAAAATTTTTATTTGGTAAAAAAAACACGGCAAAACGCTAATGCAAAAATGCTGAAAAACTCACATTTCTGCTTCAGGACAAGTTCACACAATTCAGATGCTTGCATGGTGTGAACTAGCTCTCAGTCAAAGGATAATATCCGGTCCAGTGGAAGGCTGGCAGAACTCTTCCCTGTCAAAATGTTCCACAGACTATGATGTCCGCTTCTTTAGGAGATATACTGTATAGTAAATGTATGTAGGAGTATTGGCTATATTGCAAATAATTAGTAACCCCAACAGTTAATGAAATTTACCTAACAATAAATACAAACAAAGAGCTATACTTCAAACAGAGCTATAAGGCCCCATACACAATGGGTGTTTAGCCCCTGTGCGTAAGGCTCTGGTGTTTTAGCTGTGGGTGGAAAGCACAGATCCATCCCCACTGCGGGTACCCATTTAAACTCTATGAGCAGCTGAAAGCTGCACCGAGTGCTACTTTAGGGCAATATGTGCCCAGGGATGAATGCTCGGAGCAAAAGAAATGCTTCTAAATATTGGAGCCTTGTTCACATGGTCTAAACACCCAGTGTGCCCAAATGGGGCCTAAACCAGACAATACTTTGCTAATATCATTAGTTATACTGTAGAATCTTCTCCCCTCACCCGCTGTCACAATTTGAAAATAGTGCGGCTGTTCGGTGCTCCGGCCACATCATTCATTCACAGCTTCCTGAGAATGAATAGACTACAAGTACCAGAAGTCATTGCAACTGACGGCTTGTAGTTCTCAATGAACTACGAGGGTGCTGGTGAATGCCCTTGTAGTCCATTGATCTTCTGCTGTCAGGCACTTGGAAGTCTGCAGGAGCCTAAGATTGCACCCACGTATTAGTACGTGTCACTGATCTGCACAGAAACAAAAGTGTGAGATTTTATCCAGTTTATTAGAGAGACGGATTAATAAACTGGTTATTTCTCCTTATACTTACTGTCTGCATCAATAAGCGGGATCAGCCTCTATGTGATTAGAGGAAAACAATGCTGAGAGTAGGCTGCAACTGTTAACTTCTTTTTGAAAATGCTACAGTGGATATAAAAAGTCTACACACCCCTGTTAAAATGTCAGGTTTCTGTGATGTAAAAAAAAATGAGACAAAGATAAATAATTTCAGGACGTTTTCAACCTTTAATGTGACCTATAAAATGTACAAATCAATTGAAAAACAAACTGAAATCTTTTAGGGGGGGGGGAGTAAACATAAAAAGCTAAAATAATGTGGTGGCATAAATGTGCACACCCTCTTATACCTGGGGATGTAACTGTGTTCAGAATTGAGCAATCACATTCAAAATCATGTTAAATAGGAGTCAGTACACACCTGACATCATTTAAAGTGCATCTGATTAACCCCAAATAAAGTTCAGTTGTTCTAGTAGGTCTTTCCTGACATTTTCTTAGTTGCATCCTACAGCAAAAGCCATGGTCCGCTGAGAGCTTCCAAAGCATCAGAGGGATCTCATTGTTAAAAGGTATCAGTCAGGAGAAGGGCACAAAAGAATTTCTAAGGCATTAGATATACCATGGAACAAAGTGAAGACAATCATAATCAAGTGGAGAAAATATGGCGCAAGAGTGACATTACCAAAAACTGGATGTGCCTCCACAATTGATGAAAAGATTAGAAGAAAACTGGTCTGGGAGGCTGCCAAGAGGCCTACAGCAACATTAAAGGAGCTGCAGGAATATCTGACAAGTACTGGCTGTGTGGTACATGTGACAACAATCTCCGTATTCTTCATATGTCTGGGCTATGGGGTAGAGTGGCAAGTCGGAAGGCTTTTCTTATGAAGAAAAACATCCAAGCCCGGTTACATTTTTGCAAAAACACATCTGAAGTCTCCCAAAAGCATGTGGGAAAATGTTTTATGGTCTGATGAAACCAAGGTTGAACTTTTTGGAAATAGTTCCAAAAGATATGTTTAGCACATAAACACAGCATATCACCAAATAACACTATACCCACAGTGAAGCATGGTGGTGGCAGCGTCAGGCTTTGGGGCTGTTTTTCTTCAGCTGGAACTGGGGCCTTAGTCAAGGTAGAGGGAATTATGAACGGTTCCAAATACCAGTCAATATTGGCACAAAAGCTTCAGGCTTCTGCTAGGAAGCTGAACATGAAGAGGAACTTCATCTTTCAGCATGACAATGACCCAAAGCATACATCCAAATCAACAAAGGAATGGCTAAACCAGAAGAAGATTAACCACTTGCCACCCTGCCACTGCATATATACGTGTGCAGGGCGGCACTGGGGCGCAAAAAGCACGTTTTAAAACTGGCTCTGCGCTCCCGACGTTTTCGCGGGCAGGGGGCGCGCACTCCCACCGACCTGCGGGTGACAACATTTGATCCCGGAGGGATCAATCATTCGATTTCAGCCAGTGATGCCTGGCTGAAATCGGATGATCAGTCCCCTGTCCTATCCTGTCCTGTGTTGACAGTTGCACAGGACAGGATATGATGTCATTCTTCTCTGCCTCCGTTCCAGACAGAGAAGAAGACATACAAATGGTGAGTAAAACAGCACATACCCACAATTAGAACACTCTAGGACACATTTAACCCCCTGATCGCCCCCCCCCCCCCCCCCGTTAACCCTTCACTGCCCTGTCACCAATGTCACTGATCAGTGAACCGATTTTTACTTATCACCGTATCAGTGTCGCTGGTGACTTCTGATAGTGTTTAGTGCCTCTCCCAGATAGTGCCAGATTGCCCGCCAGTACACCAGTAATCCCGTTTAACCCCTTAATCCCCCAGTTAACCCCTTCACTGCCCTGTCACCAGTGTCACTGATCAGTGAACCGATTTTTACTGATCACTGTATCGGTGTCGCTGGCGACTTCCGATAGTGTTAGCGCCTCTCCCAGATAGCGCCAGATTGCCCGCCAGTACACCAGTAAATCCCATTTACCCCTTGATTGATCGAGAACGTAAATTTTGTTTGGGTACAGCATTGCATGACCGCGCAAGTATCATTTGAATTAGTGCAGCGCTGTATAGTAAAAAAAAAAGGCATACATTACAGTATCTACACCATAGTTTGTAGACGCTATAACTTTCACACAAAACAATCAATATACACTTATTGGGATTTTTTTTACCAAACACATGTAGCAGAATACATTTTGGCTTAAATTTATGACTAACTTTGAGTCTACAATATATTTTTTTATAGCTTAAAGTAGAAAATATTGTTTTTTTTTCAAAATTTTTGTGTTTTTTTTTGCTTATAGCGCAAAAAATAAAAAGCGCACAGGTGATAAAATACCACCAAAAGAAAGCTCTATTTGTGTGAAAAAAAGGCCGTAAATTTCGTTTGGGTACAGCATTGCATGACCGCAAAACGATCATTTGAATTAGTGCAGCGCCAAACAGCAAAAAAAAGCCTGGTCATTAAGGGGGGTAAATCCTCAGGAGCTCAAGTGATTAAAGTTTTGCAATGACCCAGCCAGAGCCCAGACCTGAGTTCGATCGAAAATCTGTGGGGTGATCTGAAGAGGGCTGTGCACAGGAGATGCCCTAGCAATCTGACAGATTTGGAGTGTTTTTGCAAGGAAGAGAAATCCAGATGTGCCATGCTGATTGACTCATACCCAGAAAGACTGAGTGCTGTAATAAAATCAAAAGGTGCTCCAACAAAGTATTAATTTATCTGCGGGGTGTGCACACTTATGCAACCATATTATTATTTTAGTTTTTATTTTTACTTCCCTCCACCTAACAGACTTCAGTTTGTTGTTCAACTGAGTTGTACAGGTCGTAGGTTACATTAAAGGTGGAAAAAGTTCTGAAATGATTTATCTTTGTCTCATTTTTTTTACATCACAGAAAACCTGACATTTTAACGGGTGTGTAGACTTTTTATATCCACTGTAGTTCCCTGGCTACAATGCCAATGGAACTAGGTCTTAATCTACAGAGAGCCATTTCATGAGGTCAGCAGTGACAGTCCACATATATCCCCCATCACTTTCATTTATATGGTCACTTAACAAGGAAAATCAAGCATCCAAAATTGTGCGTAAGACTTTTATCATTGCTTTGGGGATTTAAGCAAAGGACAGAAGGCACCTATAGGGTTTTACACATAGAACTGTTCCCCAGCACCAGACTAAACAGTCCTTTTCCCACAGAATGAGCTGGATATTGAAAAGGGCCTAGAGATGAGGAAGTGGGTGCTGTCTGCAATCTTGGCAAGTGAAGAGACCTATCTTAGCCACCTTGAGGCTCTGCTTCTGGTAAGTC